AATTTTAACTTCTTAGCATTGCTAACATGAAAATTGAAATTAACGGCACAATATACGAAATCGATCGATACTAATTCTATAGAATTGTACAAAATATTTCCGGCATAATTGATAGTTCGTCAAAATATTCCGTAAAAATAATTTTACTATTGTTGTGAAATTGATAAGATTAGAGAAATATATGTACCATTCTAACTTTATTTAGTTGAATTGTGAGGTATACACTAGGCGATGTAACGATCACAAAGTACAACGATCTCTCTGTATTGTAATCATACCATTGACTCAGAATTATTTTATACATCGTACGCAAAAAGTTTTGAATCGCCGAACCATTGAAATCATTAAATTGTACATCATGTGAAAATATATGATGGGAAAATGTGGAACGAAGAACAAACGTGTATTTCAAATTATTATTTACATCGTTCGCAACACAGAATTAAGGACAGGATAAAGTTATGGGGTAACGTACATATAGTACTTAGCAGTTTTTATCATGGGGTTCTTTGAAATCGATGCACATACAACAACTCGACGGAACTGCACTCTCAGCTCTCCTGCGGATGAACCTTTAACTTCATCAGCTTTTACAGTAGGTTTGTTTGAGTCGCGTCGAGCATCAAACAGAAAACGCAAGTCAGTCGGTCAATCCATTAAAACCATTTCATTGGAGATTTGCTGCGTAATGTCTATAACTCGGCTGACTTGCATTACATCGGTGATATTTTAGGTAGCACATGCTGATCACTTATTTTCATTTATCTTTTCCTTCCTTTTTAAGATTACTCCCATTCACCTCTTATCCCCAACAAAAAATGTTTATTTCAATCGCAAACTGTTTTATTTCAATTTATTTTAATTTTGTCCTTAGCCTACTAGCAACAGTTCTTGATTCTTCATTCTAAAACTTGTATCAAAATTCTTTGTCTCAAATAGAATTTGGTATAGCACTTCTTTCATTCATGTCGAAAAATTTGAGGGCTACTAAACCTGTATTTCTGGATGATGTGATTATAATATTACGAATGAATGCACTACAAATTTGTAAAATACGTCAAATTACACCAGTTTTGATTACAAGAAAAATTTTCGAAACACTAAAATCATTCATAACATATATTCAACAATATAAATAAACATAAAAAATCTTTATTCAGAATTATGTACATAGGTGTGAAATTTACGGACAAGAAGAAAAACGATAAACTTCGTTGAAACTAAATGATTTCGCGCAACACCAGTGATTAACACCTGAAATATCATGGAAGATCACCGGTGACCCCCAATCAAACCGAATTACTATAATTCACTCCATTAAACTTGATTATTTGAAAACAGCTCTAATGCGGCCACATTCAACGAAATAAAGTGTAATAATAATAACACTATTTATTTAAATAACACGGTATCATATTCTTTTTCACTTTGTATATTTTGCTTTTTGAAATGTTCCGATAGTTAATACATTAAGAATCACCGAGTTAAACAAATAGAAATGTGTGTGTCTCTTACAACCATTCTTGTAGTAAGAGAACAAGGTGCATCTCTGTTCATATTTAATACCGCGTTCGATGTAACTTCAACAACGCGAGGAACTTGTCGCGTTGTTTGACAAGCGTCTAGTTTAAAACGCGAGAATCCTAACTACGGCTTTTCGTTTAAAATTGCCCGATAATGGCCGTTGCGGTTTCGGATTGACGGCCAGTTCTTTTGTAGGAACGCCAGAGAGTACGCCCGTGCAAACACGCTTTCATTCGTTCGTTCGTTCGTTCTCGCCCAATCCTGTCATTGCATTGTCTATCGGGCGTTGTTTCGCGTGTAGGTTTGCTCGTCAGTTTCGCAACTTTACAAGCAATAACCAAAAGTGTGCAGGAACAGGTTCACAGACGCACGCCGGTTGTTCACGGGCTTTCGCATTACGCTCAACGTAGAATCCAGCTCGAGTGCTTCTGTTGCCCAAACGGTTCACAATTCGAAGCTTCGCGTATCGGAACTAGACGCATAAAAAGAGACACATTGAATCGAGAATAATTGTCTTCTAATCAACGTTATTGTTATATAATGTCATATCCACAACGTGAATAATCATTTGTATTACGTTATTAAAGCTTATTATTATTATTTACTATTGTAAATTATTGTCATATATTGTAGAAGCTGTCGAAACTATACACATGAGAAGAGAACAATAAGTCAAGGATATTGATCATTCTAACTAACATTATTATTATTATTCGACACTATTTGCACAACGCGAGCATTCATTTGCATGGAAACTATCGAAACTAGACACACAGAAAGGAACGTTGAATCGAGAATGATGATTATACTAATGAAAATTATTATTCTACGTTACTTGTAGAATGTAAACGCTCATTTATGGAGAAAGCGGAAATGGTCGGAAAAGTAAATACAAACATGTGTGATTGGCTTTAATTAGTATAATATATATTATACTTATATGCTTCAATGACTGGGAAACTTAAAAATAATAGAACATATTTATTCGCATATGAGTGAGAATCCACTGACATAAAATTATACATACCCGAATAATTAATGATCCGAATGTGGATTGTTAAATGTAAATAAAGTTGCACTTCGCGTCTCCGACAATAATTTGATTTCACACAATCAACTTTCTGTTGGCAATAATTAGTTCTGATAGAAATCAATGTATTACAATATTATAATATTTTATTGCACAGCCTTCAGAAACAACGATGATAATAAATTTATAGTCCAGATTCCATTACTCCTTTATTAGACAAAATATTAAACATCGCCCAATACATCTCATAATTTTATTTAATAATTCTTTACATTCACGAATAATTGTAAACAATGAAAATACTAAATACATATGCGCTGTCCTAAATACTCCATCGTGCAAATTTTGAATCCATCGAGATTCGAAGATTCAATGATCCGTATTAAATGTGACACATGCACGTAGCAGTGCACGTGCACGCTCGGTAGTTTCACTAGCTGCCAACTGATTCTCAGTCGATATTGCTACAAAAAAAGATCAAGGAAGCCGAGAATAGACATGTAACGTTGGCGTCGCGAGCGTGTATAGATTAAGTCTATACACTGGACGATAAACAGAAACTTTAACAAAGTTCTTCAGAAGCATCTATTTTCGTTCCGCCGTCGTGAGACATAATAGTATGAAACAGCTATTTCCAGACAGGACGTGTAACACTAAACATACTTAGGTGCCGTTTTATTATTCGCATATAGTATCAAGAACGCTGACACTGATTGTATAAATAGCCGGGGAGTTGTTCACCTATCGATAGCTACGTATCTGAACAAACTATAAAACCGTCAGTAGCACGTCGCCTCTTCATAACGCTAACACAGTTCGATGAAGTTCCTCTGTTTGCGGATTAGACGTGCGCAAACTGCGCAGATGTAACACCAACGCTTTCGATCGAACGATTCACTATACAACCAGATGCGGATTTCCATCTTGCACTTGACTGATACTACGCGTTTATTGTATCTCGCTGGACTACAACGAGTAAAGCGTTCTAAATATCTTCTTAGCATAATTCGAAAGACAATTTTGTTGTACAAGCTTGAAAATTAAATTTCTCGGTATTGTATTGAACTGAAAAACTGAAACATTCGAGCTCAAAGGGTTAATGGTTGCCACAGATAACGTCGTCGCAACGTCACTCCATTTCTTCGGTATTTAAAATAATCAACCGGTTTTAGGCCGTTTATGAAATAGATATTTAGTGACCCCTAGACACTCGACGCGGGCTGTCATTAAAGAACAATCCGTAAAGAAGGAAACTGTATTTCCCCCCGGAACAAAGCCGCGTTTCGAGAAGGTAGGAACTGCGCAGACAAACTAGGTACTCGAGCTCGGCAGCGCTAGTGGAACGGAGATAGAATAAGTAGGTTAACGAAATGGTCGTTCGCAAGCTTGAGATACCACCACCAATTTCAGTGGCCCTCAACTCAATTCGAAGTTTCTCCGCGCCCGGCAGGATACCCATGCTAGAATGCACCGCGAAGCGACAACAATTTTCCAGTCGGTTGTTCCTCTCCGTGCCGCCACGCATGCATGCACAAAATGTACTTTGTACGTAAGCCTTGGAAACAGAAGATCTCAACCTCTTAGGGGCGACTACGAGACACCCAGGATTCCGTCTTACACCGTCCCGGCGAAACGAAAACGAAAACGAAAACATAAACGAACGGGAGAAAGAATTATCGCGAGCAACGGCTAGGAACTGGGGATCCGCTTGATTAGAACATACAAGAAAAACACATTCCGCCGATGAATTCTCGGTGATATCTTGACTAATGACAAGCTTATTGCTTCACGTCCTGTCACTGATGTGTTTCCATAAATGTCTTCATAATCAACAGACAAAGAATGTTTATGCGAATCTTATTTTGATAGGTGAACTTGGGAATGGGTTAAATAGTTTCACTGTTCGATGAAATAGTTTTGATAGAAGAAAACTAATCTGAAGCTTTGTTATATCCCACTGTACATCGTATTCTGCTGGTTTATGAAAATTGTTGTAGGCTATGAACGGTTTATAGTTTAATAATCACGGTACAGTTGAATTTCAATTATTTGGCAGATGAATATTTGGAATACGTCATTGAATAGTATATATTAATAGTATATAATAATTTATTAAGTCGTATATATTAATAATATAAATATGTTCTTATTTATTTCCCGATATTCTTTAATATGAATCTTTCAGCGAAAGGTTATGAATTATAATATCGCAAATAATAATACCGTTAGAATGTGTGGAATGAATGAGGATAACTATTATTATGTATACACACATCGTCGATGATTGAATATAAACGTTGTCGACGAAACTCGGTGTTCATGAAAATAATGTCAATGAAATGATCGACGGCAGTCTAAACAAAAGTCAGTGCCAATGAAATCATGAGAACGTGGTACGGGTAACCATCGAAACCCTTCCCATTGGTCGCAGGTTAAAACAACAACATGAATGTCATAACAGGTAGTTCTATTCTCTTATACATTGAACCATAAATTATAATTTACAAAAATGTATCAACCAATGTTACATATATCACAGAGAGAAATAAATAATATTGATTTCATTAAATACGTTCGACAAACTGTAAACAGAAAATTGCTGATGATCAGAAGTGACACCAATCACAGTGCTTTAAGAGCGTGCGTACACTTCGACGATGAAGTTGATTCCGCCTCCCCTCTGGGTCCTGAATTTGAGCGTGACGTTATTGTATCCTGGACCACCCTGGGTCAGGTTAACGTACCCACCGTTGCCGTCGGTGTTCTGATCGAGAGCTTTGACCAGAGTAATTCGTTCCCATTTCGAAACGTTGAAGGTTTTCTGTTTGACCGTAACCTGCATCCAAGATGATGGTTTGTGCTGGATAGAATCCCGCCGAACAAGCCTGTCGCCGGGCATCCTGTATCCGACGATCAAGTTATGAGACTTGTTCGAACTATTGCTGGCGTAGGGATTCAAAGCCGGCGTCGAACTAACTTCGCTGGTTATCACAGCGATAGCTGCTATTACCAAGCAGATCATAAACGTCTGAGCAGACATGGCTGACTTTTTCTACGCAACTTCGTGAACTTCGAAATCACACTTGACACGTTCGTTGAGTTATGATACGACATCTGCCGTTCTTTCACTTATATACACACTGAGTTCGTCTTATCAGTCCTCTTATCGCAACGCGTTTGTAACTATCTACTAGCTTGTTATGGAATGATTTCTTCTATGAACACATACTTCAAGAGGAAAATATTGCCACCTTCATCGTATCGAATGATATTAATCGATTGTAATTTGAAGGATAATCTTCTTACCAATTCGCGTTTATAGAATAATACACATACGCGTAGAGAGACACGTAATAGACAGTTTAAAAATACTTTGATGAGGATGTGTGTATTTAGATATGACTTCCAATCGACGTTAATCTTTTACTCGTAAAGTAATGTTTTTTTTCAGTCGCGTGACTCATTTCCAGAAACGTAATTAAGCACACAGATGTTCTCGTTATCGGGCGCAAACGTTTTTATCTGCGACAGTGTTTGCGAATGTAAGAATACGTATTGTGTATTCGGGTCTATATCATTATCAAGGCATGCTTTTCTCGAAGGCTGAATAAATTTCGTTAATTCACCGGACTGCCTGTGAACCAATGTCCTTCCAGATAGAGACGATAATCATTACTATCACCGATAAACCATGTGTAAAGTGTTTGGCCCCAATCTCATAATAGACGACAATCTCTATAATTCATGAGCGACCCGACTCTATCCAATGCTGCATCCTGCTGTGTGTACTCTGCTCGCCGCATACAGGTGCGAGTGCACACGAATACGCGTACACCCTCGGATTCTATGCACGCGAACTCTCGATACGAAGCCTTTGAAAGCATCCACGTAACGTATGATCGAATAGTTTAACTTATGCACATCTAGATTGCGCGAAAGTAACATAAATAATTAATTACATTTCAGAGGCGTAACCGTGAGGCCAATGAAACGTTTAACGATAAAAGATATCTACGTTTACTTGTTCTTCAGAAAGATTGCTACTACCTCACGGTAATTAAGCTAACAATAAGCCTAGCGAATGTGTTTCTAACGAAATACTTGTGTTTTTCTTAAACGAAAATAAATCATTTCTACTTAATCGTTTCCCACCATTAATCTTATCGCTATCAAATATAATTTCGGAAAAATAATTTACTACCGAAAACGTGTTTTTTAAATGAATATTTTTTAAAACGTTGCATTTTAAACGTTTTATGCGTATTTAATTCTGTGCAATTTTGCGTTTTCAAATTTTCTAAAAATCTATTAGAATTCGCAATTTATTTATCACACATTGTGTTATCTTAATTTTTCTCTTGTAGCCGGTCGCGAGATTCTAAGTTCAGCGGCCCAGATCGAGCTTTTCAGTTCGCAGGAGCTACAACCACTTTGTCAAGGTCGTCGCAGGTTGTTTGCTCAGATGCTTGTTAACCGTGTGGGTATCCAATACGTTACCGCGTGTATGCACTTAGTTCCTGTATTGAGAATAGATTCACCGGGATCATCGAGTCGATTGCTAAATACCCGGCGACAGAACGCCGGTTATAGGAGCCACGAGTTGCTCCCTCCGAATCCGTGTTAGTGAAAATATTAAAAAGAATGTTTCGTCTGCGAAAACGGTACAATTTTGTCGAATAAATTTCAGTTCTAAAAGAACCAAGCACTAAATGAGACAGTGCTGAACGAGGCCATCTTAACTTGCGAATAATAGGGATAAGTTAAACAGGACTTTGAATAAATAGTATACCATTCTTTTTGTTTTATTTTCTAATATGTATTATCTAAGTATAATGATTTGAATAACTTCGCTAAACTGGATCAATGATAAATATAAAATTCGAAAAAAACTGCATCAAGTGAAGTCTTACTACACTTTTATCAGACATTCCATCAATGATCGTGTGTCTACGCGTGTAATATTATAATGCTGATTTAACGAAACACTCGTTTCTAATTAGTTCAAGAAATCCAAACGAATGATGGATAGGAGTTTATTTTTTGGCAATATTGATATCATAATTTATAATATGATGAAAGAAACATTTAATACAATGAAGTTGTTAACGGAGAAGAGAATTTTATATTTAATTCTCCGTTTCAACTTCCATCTCGTGTTTGTATATTATGTACATTTCGAAGATCAACAAAATATCGGAAACGTGGAGGAATGATCATGCAACGATACTTTCTCGAGACTTAATCTTTAAATCATTACACGGAACGTTATCGGAGTTGCTTTTCCTTATAAATAATAAGTGTATCTTATTTTTGTGATTACATTCACGTTTCTTATTAAATTGTTGAGAAACAATTCATAATAAACATCACAAATAAAAAATTATAATCTCGACGCATAATAACAAACAGTTTTCAAGAAACAGGAATTATTCCAGTCAATGAATCAACACGAATGAAGATTAAATTTCGGTAATTTCTTATTATGGAGCTCTTAGAGAAATACAAAAGTTCGTCAACAAAAATTATGCGAATACTTAGAAAGAACGAAAAACTAATAACAGAGTATCTATAACCTTTCCCCTAACATTCTGTTTTACTTTTTTAACTCATGATTAGAAGAATCAGAATTCGTAGATTATTCATAAAACGTTAAAAGTATGACAAATGTTGAAGAGCGTGATGATTATAATCATTGAAACATATATCGTCAATCGAGGAATTATTTTTTTTAATTCCAGAGTATTCGGACTTTTGTATGCAAATCCAACTGAAGAATAACCAAGGGCTAAAGCGTAAAGAAAATGAATTCTGCATATTCGGTGGCAAAAGCTGCAGTAACTAGAGTAACCGTAACATAATTATAATAACGAAACAAAAAGTCATCCTACTGGATATTTCTACCAAATATGCATTCACTCGCGTAGGCATTAGAAGATTACGTATTAAAATTAAAATTACTACATAGGTCAAAATGATCTGTTCCTGATGTCTTCTCTTTACAATTATTAAAAAGACAACAGAAGCTCCTGCGAGAAATTGTTAAAGAAATTGATTTAGCAGTATTTTCTTTTTGCGAAAACTTTTGTAAACTATGAACGATTTGTAATTTAATAATCACGGTACAGCGGAGTTTCGATTATCAGACAGACGAATATTTGGAATACTTTATTAAACGACATATTTACTCTGAATCATAATTAATACCGGTATATATTAACAATATGAATATGTTCTTATTTATTTCCCGATATTTTTTTATATGAATCTTTGAACGAAACGTCATGAATTATGAAATACGAACACTGTATAAATAGAATAACACCGAAATTGCCACCTGTGCAAATAATAATACCGTTAGAATGCGTGGAATGAATAAGGATAACTATTATTATGTATACACACATCGTCGATGATTGAATATAAACGTTGTCGACGAAACTCGGTGTTCATGAAAATAATGTCAATGAAATGATCGACGGCAATCTAAACAAAAGTCAGTGCCAATGAAATCATGAGAACGTGGTACGGGTAACCATCGAAACCCTTCCCATTGATCGCAGGTTAAAACAACAACACGAATGTCATAACAGGTAGTTCTATTCTCTTATACATCAAACCATAAATTATAATTCACAAAAATGTATTAACCAATGTTACACATATCGCAGAGAGAAATAAACAATAACGTCCTCGTTAGGTACTGTCAACAAATTTCAAAGAGGAAATCGTTCGCGAATGAACAAACATGTTCCGCATATTACACAGAGAAATAAATAATATTGATTTCGTTAAATACGTTCAACAAATTGTAAACAGAAAATTGCTGATGATCAGATGTGACACCAATCACGATGCTTTAAGTGCGTGAGTACAATTCGACGATGAAGTTGATTCCGTGGCCCCTCTGGCTCTTGAATCTGAGCGTGACGTTATTGTATCCTGGACCACCCTGTAACAGGCTAGCGTACGCGCCGTTGCCGTTGGTTTTCTGATCCAAAGCATTGACCAGAGTAATTCGTTCCCACTTCGAAACGTTGAAGGTTTTCTGTTCGGTCACAATCTGCATCCAAGCCGATTTCTTGATGATATTTTGCCGGAGGACAAGCCTGTCGCCGGGCATCCTGTATCCGACGATCAAGTTATGAGACTTGTTCGAACTATTGCTGGCGTAAGGATTCAAAGCCGGCGTCGAATTAACTTCGCTGGTTATCACAGCGATAACTGCTATTACCAAGCAGATCACAAGTTTCTGAGCAGACATGGCTGACTTTTTCTACGCAACTAGTTTACGAACTTCGAAAGCACACTTGATTCGCTTGTTGAGTTATGATACGACACCTGCCGCTCTTTCCCTTATATACACCCCGAGCTCGTCTTATCAGTCCGCTTATCGCAACACATTTGTGACAATCTACTGGCTTGTTCTGGAAAGATTTATTCTAGGAACACATACTTCAAGAGGAAAACGGTGCCATCTTGATCGTATCGAATGATATCGATCGATTGTAATTCGAAGGAGTACCTTCTTAGGAATTCGTGTTCGTAGAATATGTATGATAACCTCCCATTTACTATAATTCGATATTAGTATAATTCACTGTGTTGTACAAGTTTTGATACATCTTCTGAGGACGAAGATACGTGTATTAAATGTACCGAAAAATTATTGGAAGCTGTGTCATGTAAATCGCGTGTACAATCGTGTTCATCTCTTCGACATGATGATTCGCAGTGTTCCGGATCAAAGTACTGCGCGAATGTTACGTTCGGCGCAACACAAAAACGCCAACGCATTGTATGCGTATATAAACGCGCTGGGCTAGATGCCTCAACGTGAAATCTTCCACCGAAGGGAAGAGTAACCGGCGGGACGTTCCGAAATGACCACTAAGCTAGAAGGACAACATCCCGCAGGATATCCGATCCAAGGAGAACCACCCAGGGAGCACGCAAAGGTGTTTCGTGCTTGCTGTAGGTGTAGTGGACCAGGCCACGTGTCAAAGGATTGCCGGAAAACAGTGAGCGACGAGGGAAACTGAGGGCAAACGGACAGAGCGAAAGGTACAATAAGACAGTCGTTGATGCGCTGACCAAGATCGCCGCCGCACAGGTCATAAATATAATGTTTAACAAGGGCATCAATACCACACCGATGAAAGCGTTGATCGACCGTAATACATGGACGGTGACTGAAGGGCCAATACTGAGCGCTGTGCGAGAACAGATGGAGCGGCTGAATCTAACCGCGCTACGGTAAAAAATCAGAGGGAAGTCCGATTAAGCTGCTAGTACCTGCCATGAAGGTCTACCTAGCAGGGCCCCCATGGGCGTGGAACTGGAATTAGGCCCAGCAAGCTGCGGTCGTAACCGTACCAGCGTAGCTTCCTGGGGATGACGAGTCCCGTGGAAGTAGACTGTTGGTAGCGCCGAGTTACTTTTCCAAAAACTCTACCAAATTTCCTGTCTGGTCCAGGAGCAAGTGGGACGCTGCTCACGCGCCGAGACCCTTGAGAGGTCTCTGCCCAGCATGTAGGCTTCAACCACTGCTACTATGAATCCAACACCAAAAGTCCGGACGGAAGGCAAGCCTCTCGTGGGCATTCGGAGCGGCTGTAGTACCAATCCGATCGCAGGTCTATTGGTGGGACCTGTTCGGCTTCTTACATACATGAATGAGCAGTGCCAGCCATATCGAGGTGTCTCATCCACACCAAGGGCTGGTTACACCCTAGCTAAGAATCCTGGGATCGCCAATTCCCAAACCATGATCGCCATATGGCCCCTGGGGGTGGTAAGAAATCAGCAGGCACATCACAAAGGATCAAGCAGCGCAGAAGGATGAGTTGATGCTGGTCCAGATCACCAGCGAGCCATCAACGAGGAGCAGCCGGAAGTTGCTGCCGAAGTATAAGGGACCGTTCCGGATAGGGACTGTCCTGCTGAATGACCGGTACGAGGTGGAGAACCTGCGGGAAAGGGTGAAGCGCCTACGGATAGTCATCACGATGACACGTGATGCGTCATGTTATTATATCCTTTTTATTAATGTATCTTGTACCATAGCTGTAATCCAATTGGTGATGAGCAACCATTGTGTAAGGTGTGTAAAAGCTCATACTCTTCCTAATATGTTCTAGCACGCAGCCAATAAACCGTAAAGCGTAAAGATGGTTAGGGGGAAAAAGAGTGATCGTAACAACACGATGACGGTCACGATCGCCGTCCTGACGAGCAGGTCAAGCGCGGCAAGGCGCCGAGGGCGCGCGGCTGCAGGGCCCCAGC